TACATTAGTTTATCAGTAATCCTAAAAAAATAACACTGAGCCAAACACACATGCTAAAATAACAACAACTTACTGACACATAGTAAGAAATGGTTATAAAAAACTGAAACCGAAGTGAAACAAGTAGGAAAGAGGAGAAATAAAAAGCAATACTTATTTTTACTTACTTTATTTTTGACAAAATGGACCAGACAGTGAATGAAAAGAAGCCATGCAATTATTTATAATAATCTTCCATGGTCACACTTTATTTTAAGGTCCAGTTCTCACCATTAACTAACTATCAACTGCAACTTTTGCCTCAATAAACTCCTAATTTGCTGCTTATTAATAGTAAGGTAGATGTTAAATGTAGCTATTGGGTAGGATTAGGGATGAAGAATATGGTCACGCAGAATATGTGCTTTATAATAAACAGCCAATATGTTATTAATAGGCATGCTAATAAGCAACTAGTTAATAGTGAGAATTGGTCCCTATAATAAAGTGTTACCGGTTCCATATAACATTTGTTAACATGAACAATTAAAAATACTTATGAAGCATTTAGAAATCTTAGTAAATGTTAATTTCAACATTATTAAAATCAAAAGTTGCATCTGTTAATGTTATTTAATGTGCCTGAGCTAACTTGAAGTAACAATGAATGCATTTGTATTATTTTTTAACAAGGATTAATAAATACTATAACAAATGCATTGTATAAAAAAAGCGTGTCCACCTTTTGACTCGCATTAACAAGGAAGGTTTCCAAATACATGGCACACAAGGTCTCAAGTTTAACTCAATGACCCATCACAATCAGGCGCCAGTGTGAGCCCCCTTTTTCATTGGCAGACAAAGGAAGCAGATGGCACAATGACTGTTCACTGTATGGCCAGTTATTGAACTTAGAATGAAACAACAGGTTTGAAATGCAAATAGTGCTTCGTGCTTATACTGTTGGTTGACAGCACATGGAATAAACAATTTCTTTCAGACGCCAATTTCATTTAAATAACCAAGTTTGCTTGAATAGGTCAAAACACATCACACATCCTACCCAGTCAATGATTTAAGGGTCTAGTGTATGACATTTGGACGAAAACGGTATAAGAAGGGTGAACTTACCCGCCATCTCGGTTTTTATATCGCTCTTCTGAGTAATGAGGGAAATTTGTGTGGAACAAGTGCTATAAAGCAAATAGCAGTGTTTAAAATAAATGGCAAGTCGATGAAACGATAGTCGTGCTATCTTCAAATAGCAGCGCGCCTCAGCTCATGCTCAATGACAAGTGAAAACTGTTAGTAGCCTAACGGTCACGCGACAGGGGTCATTCAACCCCCGCTACTACGACTGAACATAGATCTACCGTTATCGATTATAGACTCATATAACTTATTACGCTGAATACTGAAAGAAGGAAAACAAGCGCGGCGCTGAATGAAAGAACACAATGTTTCAGCAACATCAGAATGATCAATATTCTTAATCCAGAAATGGACACAGACTTTATTTGGTTAAGAAAAGCAAATGCATATTTTAGACACTTGACTATACATACAATAAATCATCAATCATAATTTCTCTGGATGGTAAAAGAGGTGCATTACACACGCATTCAATGCAAGTTACTTGTGATTTTAAACTCATCCATCTTCAGCAGTATTTACAGTAATACGAATCTTTTTACCTTGTCTATTATTCCATTCAAATTGAAATATAAAAACGCAAATGATACAGAAATTAGCTGGCATCCCATAATTTTAAACTCATTACATTTTATTTTAGTTGACATTTTGCCACCAGTAACTCATAGATTCTCATCAGCATACACTCTTAAAAATAAAGGTGCTTCACGATGCCATAGAAGAAACTTTTTGTCTAAATGGTTCCATAAAGAACCTTTCTGTTTCACAAAAGGTTCTTTGTGGTGAAAGAAGGTTATTCAGATTATAAAAAGGTAAGAAAGAGATGGTTGTTTAAAAAACCTTTAACTGAATGGTATGGTTCTATGGCATCGCTGTGAAGAACCTTTTAAGCACCTTTATTTTAAGAGTGTACATTATCAGCAACCTCATCCTCCTCTTCCTCATAGTCTTCTGTTTGATTGGGAAAGAAGGCAGTTTCTAATTCAGAGTAATGCAAGAATGAACAAAAGCCTAACTGATGCATACATCTGTATATAGACAGCTTGCGCTTTACAGAAGCAAGTCCCTGGCTTATGCAACTTGCTGTACTTCTACAAAAAGTGTAACAATTTGTCGTTTTAAAGTGCATTATCTTACATTGGCACTATCTGAAATACTAAAAGAACACTAAAAGCCATTTAGTGACTCTACCTCCTCTAAAGATGAACAATTAGTTACACAAAAGATTGAATACAGAAAAAAAAAATACATTCTTAAACAAAATAAAGATTAGAGTCAATACAATTTAGATAATCCAATAAAAAAAAAAAAAAAGAAAAGAAAACAAAAACACTTACACTAAGATTCTTAAAACATTAGTTTTAAACCAGCCTTTCATGTAACAGATGTTTCCCATAGGGTTAGGCTCTCCATAGCTGTACATGCTCAGTGTGCATATATACTTTCACTGTGCAGATCCAACGCAGTTACGATGAACGGAGCAGGTTGCTGAAAACTTTGGGAGAGAAAATAGTAAATGATGTTATCTACTAGGTGCGACTTGTATCAGAAAACATGAAATCCATTTAAAAGAAAACTGGTCAAAGAAACAGAACTTCTCTCCATGTTATGAGAGAAGGTTGAAAAAAATATATAACTTTGTATAGGACATGGTGTCAGAACTGCATTCTTAAATTCACATTAAGCTTAAAACATAACATAAAGGAAAAATAAAAAATAAAAAAACATCGTACCTTGAGGATCAGACTGAGTACCACGGTTTTTGCCACTCTCTGGATCCTCCCCTATAAGAAAATGTACTTTTTAGCTTATCCCATGATTTAATTTTGTTAAAGCCATTTTCATAAATCCTGTTACTAAAGTCTTATGTTCACATAACTTACACTTGAACAACACCGTACTAATCGTACTGTTAGCCTCTTTTTAACACTCTCTCAAAAAACACGACTCTGGTGGGACTCGAACCCACAACCTTTGAATCACTTCTCTAAGTGTAGCTTAGAAGTCCAATGCGCTATCCATTGCGCCACAGAGCCACTTGTTGAGGGCCCGAGGGCTTTTGTAATACAAGCAAAGCAGTTAAACTGCTTACCACGTCATACGCCCAACCCCCACTTCCTCTACAAGAGCTGCTGTGTTAGTTGAGCTACCTCAAAATAACCCAAGTACTGTGGCTCCCACAAGTGTTAATATACAGTTGTGAATCAAATGATTAAAATGTTTTAAGAGTAAAAAAGTTTGAAGGCTAAAGAGGTGTTTTGTTTTTGCAATCAGAACTGATCAAAAAAGTAAGCAACTTTTATAAATCAAAACCGAGGTAGTGCTTATATAAAGATTCTGATTCTTTCACTGAAGAAAAGTGCCAAACTCACCTCCTTGTATTTTGAAACACAGTTTCTTTTTCTGGTAAGCAAAGTAACTTGAGGCGGCACCGAGGAGAGCAACACCCACAGAACTGATGATGGCAGCCATGGCTCCGCCTGTGGGATACATTTAAAGTGATAGAACACACAATAAAAGAGAACAAGGGCTGGTTTTAAAATGCTTTAAGAGTGTGCAATTTTTAAAATGGCTCCATCAGTTACTAATTAGAGCTTGATAACAAAACTACAGCAACATGGGAATATAACAGGAGGGCAAGCAAACGGTAATAGTTTTGGCCAGTAGGGGGTGCAACAGCTGTTTCCTATTCTCCACAGAAAACTTGGCAAATGTTACTGTACGTATTGTTCTTCAACTAGACCTGTTTTTAATTGAACAGATATAGCAACTAGTACAGTTTACAGCACGCATACAGACTTACTTAGGGTTTTGCCTCATTTAAAATCATACAGTCACTAAACCAAATGATTTAATTGTACTATAGATCAGAAAGAGAGAGATTCATAATACTAAAAGTGAGTCACTACATATTTGAAATTGTGCAATTTACTAAGCTAGAAATTTAGTTGTTGAGTTGCTGTGATACCACTGGGGCATGTTATCCAGTGTAAACATGCTGGGCGTTGCCTGCTAAACTCATTTTTGTGTATGCACACACATCACACATGCAGGAGGAGGTCAACTGACTAAGCAAACTACTTATCTAAACTAATGACTGCAAAATAATTTCAGATCTGAAGCTATGCAGATTTGTCTCCCTAAACTTCAGGCAGCTAGATAAGAGGCAACTGCTAATTAGCTGGCAGGCCAGTGATCTTCACACATGCTCAGTACATTCTCACTGTGCCATTGTTGATGGTGTTTACACAGCGAGATGTGCTGACGATTAAAAGAACAGGTCGCAGCCGTTGGGCCGTGACTATGACATTAACCAAACAGAGGGAATTCTCATATTTCACTTTATTAAAAAGAATCACAGATACAAAAAAGCTGCTAAAATGTTTCAAGAAATCAAAGAGTGACAGAAAATAGCTACTTCTGTGGAAAAGAAACCAGACAAATCGTGAGCCTGAACAAAAACTGAGAACGAAGAACAAACACCAAAGAATGCCAATGTTATGAATATCAAATGTGATTCCAATCATATTTTTACAGATGCATCTCAGTCTGGATGCTCTGGCTGCTCAAATAGGATTTCAAATTGTCTTTTGCGACATGCTGCATGGTATATACAATATATACTAGTCTCCTCCATTGCAGAGTTTTTCTTGTGCGACAGAGGAGTTTCGCAACTGAGACTTGACAGACGCTTATTTGGAGATCGAGATGTCTGTTTTGAAATCCTCATCGAAAACATGGGCACGTCTGCGTCGTAACCAAAGCAACCCATGCAGATAAGTTGGTTACGTCTGGACACACAAATCTGATTTGATCACTTGCAATTAATAGTGCAGACAGTCTGCTTGAAAAGACCTGATTTGAGGAAAAATAAATACAAATCTGATTTGCCTGCAGTCTGAACATAGCCTATGGGTTTCTCATGAAACCACTGATGGCAATAATGAGGATTTATTTTTAAGATTGTCTGTGTAATGAATCAGCCTCTTTTTACCTTAAACATCAAAGCGTCTGGGGTTAAAAACATCCCTATAGCGCCTCTACTCTCTTTGAGATTTGGGACAGCGTAATCACTGCATGCGCTAAGCTTTTGGTTGAGACCCACACACAGACAAACATTTGCCAACTTCAATCTTCTGGTACATTTTCGAGGTCAAGTAAGTCTAAAACCAAGTTTTAGCCAAAAGAGAATTGTGTGACAATGTTTCAGCCACAAACATTCATTCTCAAGAAATGGGAAATAAAATGGCAGCCATGAGCAGAGAAAAAGGAAGCGCAGTAATGGAATGCTCAACATGGCCTTGGGGTTAATTCACTGTACCGTAAAACCGGCTGAGATGAGAAACTCCTCATTTGAGACATGCCATGCAAAACCAGTCAATCTGTTATGTCTATTGGCAAAAATTCAAGAGTGTGCCTTTCACATCTACATTGTGTAAACACAAGAAGAAGGGGGGGGATGTCCGAACCAGAAGTCAAGAGGATGTCCGGAGGAAAAAAGATGAAGGGGACATCCCTTTTTAAAACAAATGCTATGATCTTTATTTCACAGCCAGAATCATCATTCATTTGTATACTTTGGCTTACACCTACTGCTTTTTTATATACAAATATATATCAGTAAGTTGGTAAGAGCTGGTAAAGTTTTTAAAGTTTTTAATTGTTTTATGAAAGAAATCTCTTATGCTTACCAAGTCTGCATTTATCTGCTCGTAAAAACAGTCTTGTGTTATGAAATATTATTGTAAAATATTACAATTTAAAATTATTTTTAACTTAAAATTATTCAAGATTATATTTTTGATCAATTGAATTGAAGAATAAAAGTAGTATTTTATTTTTTCAAAAGGCTTTTTACAAACCTTACCAACTCCAAACATTTTAACAGTAGGTGTATAGGCTTATTATAATCCTTACCACCACACAAAGAAACCAGAAAACCCAGTCAGTAATACAAATAAGATTAATTCCTCATTGCCAAATGTCTAAATCAATACAATCACTAATCACTTGATCATTACCAAACATGCATCTCATCCTTAAAAGACCATAAGCACCAGCAGTCCCGGCCTTACAACCAATAACTTTCAAACCATGTAAACAATGTGTGAAACCATTAAAAAACCCAATTCAAGCAAAGAAGGTTGCTATCCAGGATAGTTAGAGCTCTGCTTTTTCCTCTGTTACATTCAGAAGTTCCCGTAACTGCTCTAGCACGGGATTTACTACTTGATTAAACTGGGAAATCCAAGCACTGAGGCCTTCTGGTATATTATCGACTAGCATCTTGATAATCTGGAGCCACTGCTGGTTAAGATCTGCAACGACAGGCAATCGAAGCAGAGATTTAGGGCACAGCCACTGGCAGAATGAACAGGCAAAACAATCATTCTTCAAATATACTAAAAGTACAGCATACGACTATCCACCAACCATTTACTATTCCGACACAGAAAACATCTGCTAGTGGAAAACCTCAACATGTACTGCCCACAAGAATTGTTTTTGTCTGTTGAACCGCCCTGTCCTTATATAAGAACTGTGTGACAGTTAGTCATCAGACTAGTGCAGTTTTCATGGTCTTGCTCTGTAGGCTAAAATATTTTAGCTTTGTGGTCAGACTCATGAACTCTCTCATTCTTGATTAAAGATATGCTAACTCCACTGGGAAAGACAACAACACTAGCAAGTAAACCAAGCTTCGTAAAGGACAAACAGCTAGAAGTGAAGTGAGGAACAGAGAGTGAGTGAGAGCTAAACAAAGACACTTCCCAGAGGCACTCATTTTCATATATTTTGGTGGACTCCTTAGGTAAACTCCATAACAACCTTCACTTTGTGGCCGACAGTTTTTCCAAAACAATTACTGATAGATGGACTTAAAATCTTAAGTACAATTTGAATAAAATGAATTAATGCTTAATATTTACCTTGAGGTTGATTAGAGGCTCCACCTAATGAGAAACAAATTAATTTCAAGAAAAATTTAAAAAATCTTACTATTCAAGATTACAAAATAAAAATGAAAAATTATCACACCATATTGCAAGTATTTGCCATAAATGTAAGGAAATAAATACCATTTTCATTAGATTGAGGAACATCTCCTGCTCGCCCTTAAAGCAAACCAAAAACCACGGTCAGATTCATTCAAAGCACTGATGTACTTCATAGAAAACATATTTAATAACCAATGCTTTCAAGTTTAAGTAATTATGACTGCATTTGGGGCTTGCAAATGGGTTGGACTTGAAACTTGGCTAAATCGGAGTCATAGAAACCTAAGAAAAATAATGATGCAAACCTCCACTTTGGCCTCCATCGGGCTTGTATTCACCCCCTTCATTCACATCAAAGAGGTCTTTGTCATCAAAAGTTCCACCACCTTGATAAAAAATAAATGCAAAGTTTCATGAGAACAGCAGTGTAATAGACTTTTTAAAGTGTAAAAAAATACACTATTTTTAACTTACACAATTTTGTCTCTTCACTGAATTGAAAATGACACTAAAACTATTTATGTGTACACATTTTATCAGTCGGACACAGACACAAACACTTAAAGGAATCTTGGTGTTCATGTGTTTCTTTTAATGACAGCAGTCAATATACCAATTGAACAATTATTTGAACTGTACATTGAACTACACATCGGAACATTTCTTTTTATGACAATTATCTACAAAGTGTGCATCTTTAAAAAAAACGCAGATATTTTTGTCTGCTTTTCAGGTGGTTGACGCAACATTTTCTGATGCGCGCTCTCTGTCCGCTGGAGGGAGTGTGCTCACCTGTGTGTGTGTGTGTGCGTGCGCGTGCACGCATCGGGGCGGAACTCCGCCATGTGCGATACAGAGAGCAGAGGATAATTGTAAACGCGTGACCATGTAGAGGCAGAAATGACATGCCGTCTTGTAAATAAGATAAATAACATAAGGCTATTTAGTTTGTTTAATAAAAGAACAAGGTATAGACCTGTTTTATAGGAAAGGTAACCCTAAAAGACTTCTGTTGTGATCTGGCGCTATACAGAAAATAAAATGTAATAAAATTAACTTGGCACTGGGAAAATGGGCATCCAATGACCCCTTTAACAGGAAGGAAGATCTACAGGAGCAGGGTTAAAGAACCCTGGTCTTTTCCGAGTAATTAAAGACAGCTCCATAGCTCTTCATTTTACCCCTGTTGTACTTTGCCTCTTAGTTGCCACTTGCAGCTATATATATTTTTTTTTTACTTAATTTGACACAACTGTGGCTGTCACAAGCTGTCACTGTTGGGGGGAGGTTAACAATAGATGATAAGCCTATGTGTGAACTGATTTTAGGCTAACATTGTAGCTCTACTTGTGTTTTTCTCAATATATTAAGTGGTAGATCAGTGGGCTTACTGCAGTTGTATATCAAAGTAAGATTTTACTTGCTACAAAATCCTTTTTTTTATTTTATGTTCACTTTTTCACAATAACAGTCATTACATTTACAGTTAAGATCAAATTACATTGTATTTTGGTGGCTTCAAAAAACTTAAAAAAAACATTGCAATAAATTAATTCTTTATGTAACTGAAGTCATGCATTATTATTAAAAATAGACAATGTGCACTCCATTTTTTTCTCTCTCTCATAAACATAGTAAAATAACCCAGAAATTAGACCATTACAAGACCCTAACAAACAGATGTTGGCAGAAACATACCAGTTCCTCTCTCTTTGGGTGGGACCACAGGCTTTTTGGGCTCAGTGTCTGGAAAGAGTGGGGAAAAATACAAAGAAAACGTATGGCATAATCTGTTAGTCTTTCAAATCATTCTAAATAGCACCTTTAAAACAAGAAAAACAGGAAAACTAATACCACTGGTAGTAGCCATAAATAACAGCTAATTGTAGCTTTACATGACTATTTAATGAAACACATTAATACCCAATATCAATTTTTTTTTCTTAAAGAAAGCAAGAAAGAAAATGTAAACATAACAAAAATGCACACTACACACAGCCTGGAAGTTCCAGAGAAAATGCAAAAACACTAATTTTTACCTGGACCAAATGCATCAGACAGATCGAAGTCACCTGAGAATGAAAACATCATGTTAGTTTTTACATTGGTAGCTTGATTTCTGTACAAAAATGAAGTAACACCTGATTTGAAGTAGAAACTAATTGACCTACAGTGACGTGTATGCATATGTATATTTTACCTCCTGATGGTTTCTTTTTATCTGCAAATAAAATAAAAAAGGAACAATGCAGTACATTAATTGTATTAAAGCACGTATTTACAAACAAGACAAAAAACATCAGTAAATTACCTTAAATGAGCTCAATAAAAACCTCAAAATAAATGCACTTTGGATCACTTAAACATTACTATATAATCTGGTAGCATTTCATTTAACAGTGTCCTTGTTACATTTACTTACTTTCAACTAGCCCTAAACTTTAACACTAACCCATGTTGCTAATTACTATTTCTTTAATATACGATAACACTACAGTAAGGGCACCTTAAAATAAAAGTGTAACCCACAAACTTTACACATAATTACATAAACACCTCAGTATAATGTTCTCTTACCATCTTCTGATTTGGGGGGAACCACTGCAGGTTTTTTAGGGTCTGTGTACAACAAACAATGGTCATAACGTTTTTTTTTCATTTTGAATTTAGGGTAATTCAAGTTTAGTTATTAAACTGAAGACCAAGGCATGGTGGAATTTCAATTGGCATAACAGAGGACTTTACTGAACTGCAATTTAAAGAGATTCAACTGCATGCAGCTGCAGAATTTAATTAGTCCAATTTTTCCACAAAACCATTACTTTTTTTTTTTTTGAGTAATTACAAAATTAAATTAAAAACAATTAAAATCTCCAAAGGTGGTGTTCATTTTGCCATGCAGTGCTACAAAATGTCCATCATGTTACAGAGGGAAGAGGGAAAGCTTATACAGGACATTTCAAATTAAAATACATAAACAAATGAGGACATTAATAAACAATGAGTTTAATCAATGCACTGATCATCATATATTCAGCAGGCCCTAATAGAGGAAACCACAAAAGTTTGATAAAAATTAAAGACTAACATGACCACAATTTATTTCAACTCTATTTGTGAATATTTCTGAGCCCAAACAGTCTTACCCAAATCGAAGGCATCTGAAAGATCAAATCCTACAAGAGCAAGACAAAACCAAGACCATTAAATAAGTCTTTGCATATACTTCCATGTGCCTAACTCAATCAATACAATTATGAAATATAGCAACTAAAATATGTTTGAGCGTAATGTTAAAGGTTACCTGAATCTGGGTTTTTCGGTGGGGCTGGTTTCACTGTTGGCTTCGCAGGGGCTTAAGATCATAATAATATTGTTAATTGTTTGAAATGACAATATAAATAATGATATACTAGAACAGTATACACAGAAACAAGGTTGGGAGTATGGTGTTCCACATTTGCTTGCAAAGTACTTTATTATATTTAATATTTATTTATTTACATTTAAATATATAACATTAAACATCAAAAAGTAGACCATCAACACAAAGAGAGGACCATACAAATTAAATAGAAAGTGCCCTTTACTTACGCTTGTCATCATCAAAAGCATCAGCGAGGTCAAAATCTGCAAGAAAACAGTTATTTTAATATTTTGCATCTCTCTATTAGTTTTATGGTCAGTTTAATCCCAATCAAAACTCAAGCTTAAATCTAATCTTATTTAACTAAATCAAAACTGTGCATGTCTAGAAAACAGGCATATACAAATATCTGGTCTGTGTCCAATAAAAACTGTAAAAAAACCTTTCCAATAGAGAATGCATCCAACCCCTTCAAAAGCACTCATTGGATTTACTAAGGCCAATATTTCCACTGCAAGCAACAAATTTATGCATATCTAAGCAATACGCAGTTACACTCCAAATACAGCCAATATGTAAAATATTAATTACAATAAACAGCCCATAAATGCCTAATGGAATTTGACTAATTCATTTATGAACTAGTTCATTAGCCATCCAAATTGTTACATTTGTTCAAATGGAAACCAATTAGCCTGATTTGAGCTGCATTATGCAATTTACATGTGGCTCCACACCACAGTACAAAACCCAAATGAAGGATGCAAACCGACCTCAAGTGAAGCGACTCAAATGACACTGAAAGTAATTGTTGTTTTCTTGAAATAATTTCCAAATATAAAGGCGATTAGCATTGCAGCTAATTTTAAAGTGTTCTAAGTTAGTAATGAGACAGCATCTAGTGCTTTTCCTTTTGCAAAGTTACTACTGCATGACCCCCAAATAGGAAGACTCAAAATTAAAACCATCTGTGTCACCAACTCAAAACAAACCAGTCTAGTTCCCAGAGGGTAAAAGTCTTATAGACTAGGCTAAATTATTGGAATTTGACAGTTCGAAAACCCCACCCAGCAATACACTGTATGTATCTATTGTGTGTCGTATTAGATTCACATTGTGACCAAACCCTCCCAACCCTTGAAGTGACAAAGCAAAACTGTACAGATGCATGAAAACGTCAAGTTTAGATAGGAAACCATACCTTGCGCTCTTGTTGCCACAAGACTTGCCAGAAGAAGTAAAATCCACGTGTCCAGCTCGCCGGTATCATGCAGTCTTTAATATCCCCAGTCACCAAAGCAATACTGGTTGCACTGTTTATTTTTGCGATCCTGCTCATTTTGTACGTGATATTATGGTATATCTGTCGAGACGTGGATTGTGATCACGGAATTTGATTGACATTATTGGATGCGTCTTTAAGGACATGCACCGGGTGTCCAAGCTTTGGCACTGATCAACAAGGGAGCAAAGGGTGACTCTGGTAAGTTCCCTGTTACTAACCTGATAAACTAAGAGTGGACAGCACTGATTCGGTATTTTTGTTTTAATATACTGACATTGATTGGGGTGTCCTTTTCCACTAACGTGTTGCGCTTCACTGGCTATTGGTAACCACTGAAAAGATCTGCTTTCCTTCCACCTGTTAATGTAGACGCATACCAATTCAAATCATTCCACATGTCCGATTTTGAGCTTTTTAAACTAATTTGAATTTGAAATCGAGGACTCAAAAACGGAACAACACGGCACCTTATTCTCGTTTAAATTAAATTCAGTGGACTTTTTCTGCCATTAATGATAAAAGAACTTGTTTGCTCATTAAGTTTATATGCAAGTACTGTATCACATTTCATAAATTCAATTATTACCTTCCCAAATAGACAACATAGAGCAAAAACGCTATATGAGCGAAAATGAACAAGAAAAAAGTTTAGATATGATATCGAGGGCTGTCAGTGGT